CTGCCCCGCCGCCCCCACCTCCGCCGCTACTTCCACTGCCGCCTTCATCACCATCACCACCTCCGCCTCCACCACTGTTCCAGTGTCACCTCCACAGCCACTTTGGTCACCGCTTCCGCTATAACCGCCACTCTCGCCGCCCCCTCAGCCTCTGCCGCCGCCGTCACCTCCACGATTGCCTAATCCCGCAGCTGCGCTCCTACCCCATTCCATTCCGCACCTCCCCCCCCCGGCCGCCATCTTGTGCTTGGCAAAACAAAAGGCGCTCGAGAGTGGCGCGTTGCGGATTAACAGGCGCCTTCCCGCCAGTCTCGCAAATAAGGTTAAGAAAAAACGCCGAGTGGATTCGGGCGCTGGAGGAATAATTTTTAAAACGCAAGTCCGAGACGCCGACTGGTGCGAGAGGCTCACGGTGAGTTTGCGAGCGTTTGACTACGAGATGTGCGGTTGTAGTTGAGGAATTAAGTGAACTAGCGAGGGTCGTGTTGCTGTCTTGCAGGCGTCGGATTATTCCGAGTTGTTAAGTTAAGCCTTCTTCTAGAGATCCTTTGAGCTTCGGCGGTGTTTGTGAAGATCGAGCTCTAAAATTATGTGGAAGATAGGAGATGACGTCGAGCATCTATAGATTTCTCTGATCGGGCTGCATGCGCCGATATCCTCATTCTATGAGTTCAAAACGCATAAACGATTTAGTTCCTATATTGTTAATAAAAACTGACACTTATTTAAAGACATTCAGGTTTTTGGTATTATCGTGTTGTGTCGTGATTTATTGTTTCAATTATTCGTCACAAGTCGCCAACCTTTCTGCTAACATCTTTTAGCCACCTTGACAAACATCATGAGTACAATTTACATAGGTGGATGATGAACAGAAATCCTTTTAAACTACTTTGAACCATAGATCAAAAGTATTAAAATTAAGAAACCTTTGCATCATATTTATTACATTTAGTATTAGTAAACAAAAGCTTATATAATTGTCCAAATTCATTTCATATAAAGTTAGCTTCTGTCTACTTATACTAAATGTAATAAATTTGATACAAAGATTTCTTAATTTTAATGTCTTTTGACCTGTAGTTGAAAGTAATTTAAAAGAACTTCTGTCGTCTGTCTTCCGACCTACCGCACGGGTCGGAGATCAGTTATTCAGCGACACTGCTCTCAATTATCTTTATTCTTTCACCAATACATAATTGTTTTCGAAGTAATTCTTCATACTAGTCGACATAAATTTTTCTTTAATGATATATTCATTAGCGAGTTCGCGTAGGAAGTCGCAGAAAGAATAATGACCTCTTGTGTTACTCTAAAAGTGAGTGTGTCGCAACGTTCAATGGTGTTTGTCATGCTTGTTCTTTATCTGTGTGAGTGTATACTGATACAACTGCATTTTATTCAACGCGTGTACCTTGTAGCTAGCGACTCGAAGCTTTGCTATTTTGAAAAACATTCTTTAAAATTTGGGGGTACTTTCATGGTGCCCCTAGTACATTTTCAAAATATTCTCAAAAATAACTCGAAATTTTCTCTTTAAATATTTCGCAAGAATAGAGTAGAAATATGGATGGATTAGGTCAGTTTTTCAATGTTTACTTTGAATTTTCGAAAATTTCAAAAGTTTGAATTTTTACGATTTCTTCCTATATCTACAAAATTGAAGATACGATATTCTACCTTGTCAATTTTTTCTTCATGATTACTTATTTGATTAATGTTACGTACAATTTTTTAAAAAAATTATTAGCCTTCGCGCCATATAGCGTGCAATATGTGCAATATTAGAAAATAACACAATTTTTTTCAAACAGCTCCGAGTTGTTCCTTGAAAGGTTTGGTATAGTGCTAAATGAACTCCGTAAGATAACTTAAACGCCATATTGCTATATTGTTTTGACTCTTTTCATAAATTACAAAACAATTCACTTGTCTTATGTCGTTAATATTTATATTAGCAATTTCTTCACATTATTAAATTTAGGAACAACACTATAACTGAACAACTTCTATAATGGATGGGGTTTTGCTCGTCGTTACTGTTTAAGTAATATTTCGGTTCTACTATTAGGAAGCCGAAAACATTGGGAAAATTGCAATAAAATTTACTTTGGGTGACAATAGATTGCAGCTGGCAAAAGTATGCGGCAGGTCCGAAAAGTTAACCCACACAAAAGAAATTAGAAAATAATACGAGAAAGTCTATCCCACTCTGTCTATTAGTTAAATCTCTCTGTCTAATGGTATTTGAATCGTATTCCTACAGGACTAAGCTGTAAAGAATAAACCGAAACAAGTCAGGAAAAATTCTTTTTTCGGGACTCCTGGAGTTGACACAGGGTCTGGTAGGTCGAAAGCTTGAGGTTTTAACTAGCGCCTTTGTACTTACAACATACTCAAAGAAAACGTTTTTTACCACCTTTTTCTATGTAACCCTTCTTTTCCATTACATACTGGCTGGATTAATAGCACTAAATGTTGTCAAACGCCATTTTGCTCTATTCTCATTTTTTTCACAAATTGCAATAGTTTAATTTCTTTGATTTCATGTCGTTAATGTTTACATTGCATTTATAAGTACATGTGCTTTGAATGATATCAATAGTTTCCCGAAAAACAATTCTTTCAAAATAACGTTGAAATTCCATATTTTCAGATCATTTTTGCTCAAAGGCCGTTTTTCAAAAAACTAAGAATTTTTCTTCACGGATAGTGCTAAATAAACTTAAAACCAAAGTAAGTCAAGCCCGGAAACAACTGATTTTGATGTTAAACCAAAGTAATTTCGCTGTATTAGTTTTCTCTAAACTTATGTTAATGTAATTTTTAATATTTCCGATGACACATTTTTAGCCATTTGTATTAATTATAGCATTTATGAGCGGAAGTGCTTCGAATTTCAATGATTTTCGAAATAATTGTAAAAAAAGTTTTAAATTTCCCATTTAGAGTATCTCTTAAAATTAATTTTCTCAAAAACGGCTGCAGAGTTTACAACGCATGAGACCTTAGTCACTTCATTAGTACTCGCTTAATTTCATTTAATTAGTTTAGTGTACGTAAGTGCTGTTCTGCAATTTTTCAGTCAAGAGTCAAATTTGATATTTGTCTACGACAAATCTAAAGATACCGTGAGGCTACGACTGCGGCCTGATGAACATGAGAAGTCACGTCACCCTGCTGAGATAAACGTATTCCCAACTTCTCTTTTTACCGAAAAAAAAAGTCGTTTCCTGCCTATTAAGTTTTTAGTACTGATGAAGTATAAAAGTCAGTTCGAGTAAATTTGAAATACCCAGATACAACTGGAAGACCAAGAATTTTGAAGTAAATTAAACTTTAATAAACCTTCAACAATTCGTATAAGAAATTTTAAATAAAGAAAAATTAAATAACTGCGTTATTGCAATAAGCATACAATGTTGAGATTAAGCCAGGAACAATGTTCTGAGCAGGAAGCCGGGAATAATGTGAGCAGAAAAACGGTTACGAGGATAAGCATCAGATTAGAGTAAGGAAACTTATGAGAAGTAAATTGTGCAAAACTAAAGTGTACAAACGGTATGGGAGAATGAAGTAACAGAAAATCAGTTCACAATTTACGGAACCCCTACGTTGTTTGAAGGAGAAAGTAATAAAAGTAAAAATAATGAAATTAAAATTTTTTTATTGAAGTGGATAGAAGAATAGATAAGAACTCTAGTTCAGCATTTGCTATCTTATGTTGTAAAGAACAAGTTAAATTTATTATCGATGAGCGATATATCTCATTTGCCACTGGTAAAAACTTGAAATAGTTTTGTGCACAGCACGCGGGCAAGAGCACACGTAGTTCATCAGCTGGTTTACGCCATTTGCAGGAACCTGGAAGAAAAATACTGTAAGTAAGAACATGTAACCACAAGCCAGAAGGAAAAAGTTAGCGAGACCTTCGGTTTAAAGAAAGAACGTAACATGGAATAAAACAAACGGCGGAGAATATTTACCTGGTCAGAAGACCCAGCGATGCAGGGGCACACGGTCTCTACTACATCCAGCCCTCTGCACAGGGCCCAATCAGCGGCACGCAGCGGAGCTGGGCACATTCCCGACAGAGGCACAGCCAGGATCTGGAAGGGCAGGATACCCAGCCCTAGAGCGCACTCCATTAGCACCAAGGGCACAGCGACGAAGGGTACGTCCCTCAGGCGCTCGTAGGCGGCCACAGAACAACGCACCAATGGCAGAGCGCTGACACGGGCCGCGAACTGGCTACCGCGCTGAGTGCTCTGCATGTTGTCGCTTTCAGCCTCCCTGCTGTCGATGTTCCGGTTCTCGTCGCTGACGTTTACGCTTCCACTGTCGCTGCCTGGAATGTAGCTGTTGTAGAACGAGTCGCTGGGAACGGCTCGTGCTTCCCGAATTTCGTCGCCGTTGTGATTTTTACCGTGTTCGGGCATTTTGTTACTAGCCATAACAGAGCTTCTAACAGTTCTGAATTAGTAAGTTTTGATTGGCCAGCAGGAATGAGTTGCTGAACGGCGATCAATCTACGCTATCTGGGAAACTATCACTTATCACTAGACCACAACGCCGAGCAACCTATCTGAAAAGTGAACAAAGGAAAGTCTCCTTAGCTAAGTTACTTAAATTCAAAGAACTAACACCGCGTAAACTTCAAAAATTACTTTCAGATTTACAAATGTAAAATAATTACATTCATCCTTACCCTACTACAGTGGAGTTCTGGTTAACTGAACTCGCCTAACACTGGGCGGCGACTGCTGGTGCTGTTGATTGAATACTGACTAGCAAACCTAAAACGCGGCTTTTTATGGGCGCTGGTTTCCCGCCCAGAGCGTGTAGACTCGCCATCGCAGCTACGATGCACCAATGGAGTGCGAGTTGCTGGAGCATAACATTTCGCCTAGGTTACACCAACCGACCTGATTACAAAGCTATTGATGGCTTCAAACATGCGAGAAATTTCAAAATTATAAGCTTGACCCTTATATCATGTTTAGGGAAAATAAAAATCGTTACCATCAACTTCACCTATTCTTTTAGTTAATAAAGAAGAAACAACAGGCTTTTGTTACGCGTTTGAGAAACTATAATTACTTTCCGTCGCTATGCATTTTACATAAAAAATGAAGTCAGTTGTACACATTTACAAGCGGGAGAGTTATTACAAATAATGATTTTTACTTTATTAAAATATATGATATTGCAACGTATATTACAGTTTTGGTGCTTAATTTCAAATTTGTTCTCAGGTGTGCATATCTTTTGTTATATGGAATGAAGTGATCATGTTCATATTAATTCAAACAAATAATAACCGCTGTGGGCTATCGAAACACCCAACTACCGTTTTCACATTCGGATAAAGAGGGACAATTTTAAAATTTAACATGATTGTAAAAAGGAAATCAATAATCGACCACATGAAATACAGAATTTTGGTCTCATGTTATCCAATTTTCGACGGGAAATATAAATTTATATAGCTGAAATAAAAAGTGCATTTGCTTGTGAATCTTATTGTATTGGTTATAATAGTAATTGAAAAACTAAAGTGTTCTGGCTGAATCCATGAATTACGCAAGACAGCAATAATTTTAGTATTCCGGAAACTTCATTAAAAGCAATTAAAGATTGTAAGGACATAAGCAAAGAGAAAAGGAAGAAACTAAGAATAATAAGAAAAAGTTAAGCGATAACAAAAGTATCCGGAATCAGGAGAGAGAAGGAGAAAAATAGCAATAGCAAAGCAAAACCGAATCGAACAAAAAGTTAAGGGAGCAGCAAAACTAATTTAAAAAATTAAAAAAAGAGAAGAAAACGTTACCTCGTGTAAAATTATCAGAGGGGCGAAAATTTAACAGCAAGAATTGAAAAAAGGAGAAAAAATGAATGTCCAAAGGAAGGATTAAATGTTGTATCACGAGTTTTCAAGACTTGTTTACTTGAGGGGAGACAGGAAGCAACGGAAAGGAAATGGCCAAAGAAAAAATAAACATCACGTCATGTGGTTTCATTGCTTACTGCTTGAGAAGGTTAGGGGAGCGAAAAGAAAGAAGCGAAAAGAAAGAAAAATGTTCAAGGGAGGGAGGGAAACGTTCGTCGAGCCAAGTTGCTTCAGCACTTGCTGTCTATTTCCAGAGACTACACCCTTCGATTCCCGCCCACCGCGTACTTCTCACACATTTCCTTGATTACTTTCCTGCTCCGCGCGTCAAGAGAAGGTAGAAGGGCACCATTCTGTGCATCAAGGATATTACGTGAGCGATCGAAAGTTCTTATCCTCGAGTCGAATGCATGAGAGATTCATTCTGGATAGTAAATCGCGCAATACCACTATGAGATACGAATGGGGGGAAAGCACTTTAGTGAAGATTATGGCAGGGCTTTGGTGTATAAATATCGGTTATTCAAACACTTATGCCGAATGACTTTGATTTCCTATGCATCTACTTTGGCAAGTGCATTGCACGAGTACATGTCAAGTAGTAAAACTGTGTATCTACATTAGCCGATTTGTCATTTATATATTAAAGCAGTATAATACATATATTTCATTATTCAGCTTATCGGAAGTTTTATTCCGTAGCGAATAAAAACAAATTCACGGATGAAATTCTTTTACTGCTGGGCCGTCGCAAAAGCGGCTGGTGTGTCTGGCTATATAGTTTTACTGTCCTGCTTACTACGTACTTACTCGCACGTAGTAAAGAGAAATTATTGTAATGCTTCAGCAGAGAGTAATTTTTTGTCAGAATAATGCACCAGATAGTAATTTTTCGTATTGTGGGACCTTGGAATAGAAAAAGAGGATAAATCTTGTTCGTGTTTATATAAACTCCTTCCTCTACAATCTTGAGCAGTTAAATTGTGTCACATTTTGGGGCTTCTTGATACCTAAATTTGGTTAACGACAAAACGTGGCTGCCTGGCTGTCCGTCCGTTCATGGTGGAACCTAGACAGGGAAATTCTGGCAAGCCGATAAGGAGGCCGAATCTCGCGATCCATTGGGGACAGAACACCACCACTTTTCGGTATAAAAATGCACTTATTATGGGTGCAAGGTCGGCAGTTGTTGACACGATCGGAATCATTACTCGCTACTTATTTTATCTGAGTGCGTCAGTACTCCGAGGCGGCAGTCAGAAGAGGGGTGGAGCGGTCATTACAGGGCGCGGGCGGGCGGGGTAAAGTCGGGGTTGAGGGCACTCGGGCCGGAGAAGTGCAGGACGGGGCGGGACGGGACGGGGCGGGTGAAGCGGGGCGGACCGGGACGGGACTGGGAGGCACAAGCTGGACGCAGGGAGTGGCGCGGCGGGGAAAGACGGACGGGGAGAAGACGGGTTAGTGCGGGGGCGGGACGGGACGGGACGAGGCAGAGCGGGGCGGGACGGGGGCGGGCGGTATAACGGGACGGAGCGAGTCGGGGTGGAGCGGGACGGGGCTTTGGTGGTCGCTAGGGGTCCGGGGCGAGCTAGAGTAGGGACAGGGCGGTGCGGAATGGGACGCGGCGGGTCGGGGTAGGGTGGGGGCAGGTCGGGCCGGGTCGGGACGGTGGGATCGAGGGAGGGGGGGTGGGGAGGGGCGGGGCAGGGCGGGTCGGGGTAGGCCCACGAGGGCAGCGGGAACGAGATTACGCCGAGCGAGTTTTCAAATAAAGGAAATTGCGGAGATAATGCCATTACGGAGCGACGAATTCATTAAAACTTAAAACACGTTTTACGCGCTGTACCACCGCGAGGGGGCCCTTCGCTCATTATTCGACAACTTTTTAATTCGTTAAAACGTCCCGGAGCAGCGCCGCTGCACTCGGGGAGTGCACCGCCCCGCCCGCGCCGCCCGTGCCGCTCACGCCCGCCCTGCCCCGGCGTGGCCCACCGGCCGCAGTGGCCACCGGCTGCGGCTCCCCGCTCTCTGCCCTGCTCGCGCATACGTTGTCCCTTGGTCCCTTCCTAGGTCCGCTTATTAATAATAATAATAATAATAATAATAATAATAATAATAATAATAATAATAATCCAGAAGTCTCACACATAATCGACTATACTAACAAGATCAGCCAATACAAGGATCTGCAAAATGATGTTAACAAAATGTGGAAAGTCAAGAAAGTTTATGTTAGATCAACATTTCGGCCAAGGTCTAATTTCTAAAACCGCGAAGAAAACACTTTAAAATCCTTCAGTTAGAAAGCTACTAACCAGAAATTCAGAACTCTGTGATACTTGACACTTGTCATAGTGTGAGAGTTCTTGGGAGACGAGCTTAACTGAATTCAACTCAATTACCGTTTACCCAATCCTGCAGGATCAACGAGTGCTGTGTGTATGTATATGAGGGAATGGTGATAGTGGCACGATAGTGGGCGGTTTATATAAATGAATTATTTCTATTATTTATTTAAATATAAAGTGACTTGGATTCTTATTATATGTAAATTTGATATTATTTGTGTTCTGAGGAAGAAAAGCAAACTGTAATACGTTTTGAATCTGAATTCCAATGTATTATGTAATATCCAACATTGTTGAGAAAATTAATAAATGTACGATCCTTTCCTCTGAAATGCCTTCAAAGAACATCAAAAGTGCCGTATTGAAAAGCAAGGCGCCAAATTTGAAGTAATTTGGCGGTCAATGTGTCAACAACGACAACAACAACAACAACAATAATAATAATAATAATAATAATAATAATAATAATAATAATAATAATAATAATAATAATGTCTTCATTTGTGATGATGGTCAGGCATACTCTTCCACCTAACGACTAATGTGAATTTATATTTACTTAATTAAAACAGAGGAGTAGTATAAATATTCTTGACTGACATTTTACTTTCATAGGAAAACGAAATTGTTTTCACTATCCACTTGTTAAGAATTGTGTGTATTTGTTTATCATACTTCTCCATGCATGTCCCGTGCAGTCTCCTCCCCGTTCCGTTCTCTCGCCCGTTCTATCGCAAGCTCGTCTCATCCTCTCTATTCGTGCCTATTTCTCTGCTTTGGTTTGTTTCACCTGTACCTTTCCGTCCTGTTCGATGGTCCAATCTCCTTCTGTTAATTTCTCTTCGATTGGTTTGCTTTTTGTATCCATTAGGTTACCTGCCTCGTTCCATCCAACGCTCGTTCTTTCACTGTTCGTTCCATCTCCCACATTTGTTTCCTTCAATTTTGTTCTCCTCAATTGATTCTCACTCTTGCTCAATTCTTTACTCCAGCTTGTTCCGTCGCTTCAGGCTGTTTCATTCCCACACTTACAGCCCCTCTGTTTCATCCTATGCACCCATTTTGTCGTCCTCCATCCGTCCTATTCCTACAGTTTTTTCTAATTTTCCGCTTTTTCTACCTGTTTTGCCCATTTCCTATCGTAACTCCTTTTATTTCTTCGTGTTGTTTTGTTTCCCTCGCCCGTTCCATTTATCCTTCCTTTTGAATGCTCTCGGGCTTGTTTGTTATTTTTTACAATCACGTTTATTCGTGTTTCGAATTTCTATCCCCGTTCTCCATCACACCTTTTTCCTATTTCTTTCTGAGCACTTTTCGCTGTCACTGCTGATATGTTTTTCTTTTGTCCGACTTTGCAAGTGACTTCGTTATTTTGTATGATATTGCTACCGTAATCGACCTCATCGAATTGGTTGTCTTCCTTGAAACACTTGCAATTTCATTGTTTTACACTGACATGAAGCAAATTATGATTCTTGGTTGTGCCGTGCTACGGTGATGTAGTGCCGCATTCAACTATATTTCACCAAGCACTTCTTTTGTGAATATAAGCTCTTTTCACACTCATTCTTTTCAAT